GGCGGGAAAATCTAGCAGAGGGTTCTGTCAACATGAGTCAAGGGGTACCACATTCCGCCATCCCCCGCACCTTGATTTCCTCCGAGTGGAAGAGGTCGGCGTCCTCGGGGCTGTCCATCAGGATCTTGGGCCTGTCCCCGTCCTTGGCGCCCCCCGAGCTGTCCCTCCGCGGGGTCTTATGCCCACTCTGCCGCTCCAGCGCGGCGCGCTCGCTGCTCGTGTTGCCCATGGCAGGTCTGCACGGACACCAGGGAAGCCGAGCGGGGCCTCACTCCACGGAAAGGAACGGGGGCCGGGGACTCCCCGAACCAGAGGTCACAAGGAAACCTTGGAAAGGGGTTCGGAGCCTCGAGGTACCACACCCCTCGGGTGAGGGTTCGGCGCCGGAAGCCGACTAGAGCCCGGTCAGCCGGGTTGCCGAGGTCTCGCAGTCTCGCTTTACCTGCTCCGGCAGAGGGCGGCGCGAACTCAAGAAGCATAAAGATAATCCTAGACTTTCCTACAACTTCCCACCCCCAACAACTTCCGCCTTCCGGCGCCTCCGCTAGTCGGCCCCGCCCAGCGGGTAGGGAATGGCAGCGGGCCGGGGAAGGCGCGAGGCTAATCTCAACTCACTTCCGTTTCCGGTAAGGGACAGCGTAGAGTCGCCTGCGCCCTGAGTGCGCAGTCGCAGTCCGACGCTCAGAGCCCAGCCCACGACAAAGCCGCTGATGGCCGGCAGGGGGCGCCTCAGCACGCCAGCCATCTGGGCCGCTCTCTCTGCGTTGGGGTGAGTGATAAGTGAAAAGTCTTTTTCCACCTCCGCTTGCTCATTCAGGGATCTCTGGTAACGTAGTGCCCAAGGCACTTGACAGCTAACCAGAAGGCTGGTGGTTCAAACCCACCAGTCACTCCTGGGAAGGAAGGTTGGGCAATCTACTTCCATAGTGATACCACCTCAGAAACGCAAAGCGGGGATCACTATGAGTTGGGTCTGACCCCGCGGCAGGTAACAACAACACTTGCTCATTCAGTCTGCAGTCCAAGGGAA